CGACGCTCTTGAGGAGTTTATCAGCAAGAACTTTGAGAGCAATTTGTTGTAAGATATTTTTCTCTGAAATGCCTTCATATTTTAGGATAATTCTGAACACGGTTCCTGATCCTGATGTTGAAGGAAAACACTATAGTCGTTGAGTGCGAGTGCATTAGTCTCTTTGAAGTGGCCGTGAGGATAAGCTGTCCCCTTACCGATTCCAGGTATCAGTTTCATAGCTATACAAGTTCATTATATCCGTTTCACAGCATACATATTATTTGGTCTTTTGCAAACCATAGCATATATGTATGACTATCTATTACATTTTGAGTTTGCTCTTTGCTTTTTCTTCTTGTTTTTCAGATGTCCAAACCCACACTGATCTAAAATTATATTCCATATTGGTACTCATGAATGCACACTGAACTTTGTTAATTACTCTTTGGTTTGAAAACACGAACAATTCATGTACTAATTGTCGTGGACCCTCTACCTGTCATGATTCACTTGATCGGGAAATTTTGAATACTACTTAGCAACAGTCGAAACGACCTTCTTGAGGTTTGCAAGGGATGACAGTGTTAGTAACATAGCACGAAGAACTGTTCAACCACTTGTAAGGCTGGTCGTCTTGCTCGGGTATCAGATCATGAGCTTATGGGGGGCAGTTTAAAAAGGAAGCGCAGAATTCAAAATTTGCCCCCGAGAAGAAATTCTCAGACAATGCACGCTAGTGAAACAAGAAATATATAACCATGTGTAAAATTTGCTTTATTTCCTTGCATTTTTTTTGCTCATGCAGTCCTTTGAGCGTTAGAACAAAAGATGCAAGTGATTCTCATCCGGATCGAGGGGGCGAACCAATCAAATTGGACAATTCGCTAGGGCTACATAGTTTGTGAGTACGTTGCAGAAACAAGTAAGAGTCCAACTGGGATGGATAACAACAGAGCGGTGGACAGCTTCCGCCACTGGCGAAAAGACTAGACTCCAGTAATTACTTTCCTCATAATTCTCAAGTTACATCACATTAATTTTCAGACTAGAGAGGATAGCAATCTCCGTAGTGGCACCATTTGGGGATTTAAAAAAAATTAATTTAAGTAGAAACTTATATATTGAAGTTAATACAATATAAAAAAACTATTAGATAATGAATTTAAAATAAAAAAGACATAAAAAATTATTACAAAGAAAAGAAAAGTTTACCTACTCTTTAATTTTAATAGATTTTAGAAAATATATTAATAAAAAAAATTAAAATTGAAAGGGATCATAAATTATTTTTTTAAGGTACTTAAAAATGGTTGAAGTAACTTAATAGGAGAATCATTATGACGATAGCCATTGGAAAGTCTTCCAAAGAACCAAAAGGTTTATTTGATAGCTAAGGAGAGACCGTTTTGTATTTGTAGGTTGGTCTGGTTTTATTAAAAAAAAAAAAGAAGTAGAAATTAAAACTATAAATTATCTTCTTTACAATTCAAATTCGATATGAACAAATTCAAATAATAAATGAAAAAAGCATTCAATTAATTCAAACTTGTTTACTTGTACATTGGAAAAAAAAATATTTTTTTAAAGAAGCTAATGTTTCTTTTTTGAAAATAAAAACGAAAAATAATTTTAAAACTTTTCTTCAAATAAGTTTAATAGAATATTCTAATCTAGAAAAAAAAACTATTTCAAAAAATGTTAAAAAAAATATTATGATCATTTTTTTTCTATTTCAAGAAATGAATAAAAAAATAAAAGACAAGGTGTTATTCGAATAATATCTAATCAAAATAATGGAATGCAATCTTTTATTATTTTATGCTCATCAGATTTAGTTAAAACATTTAAATTTAAAAAATTAACAAAAAACATTTCAATAAAAATAAATACTAATACTTCTACTGCTAAATTTTTTTAATTTAAAAAAAATTTCAAAATTTTGAATAAAAAAATTAAATTTAACAAAAATAATAATTTCTATAGGACTTCTTTTATTCAAAAAATTAGGATTTTTAGGTAATTTACATAATATTGTAACAAATTCTTTTAGTTCATTTTATTTAATTAATTATACTAAATTAATATCAAATAAATATTCCATTATTACTAAATTTCAACATACTTGTCAAAATCCAAAATGGTATTTAATAGATGAATCTAAAAAAATTAATAAATTGATTTTAGGAAAACATATAAATTATAATTTATTTAATTGGTGTTTTCCATTATTTTCTTTATTAAAAAAAATTGATTTTCAAACTATAAAGCTTGGACAATTGCTTTTCGAAAATTTTGTGATATCTAAATATAAAACAAGTTATCCATCTGGGCAAATTATAAGTATAAATATAAACTATTTTATTATTCGATTAGCTAAACCTTATCTGGCGACTTTGTGGGGTGGGGGGGGCAGGGCGGGCGGGCTACTATTCATAATAATTATGGTGAATTTATTAAAGAAGGAGATACTTTAATAACACTTATATATGAAAGATTAAAATCTGGTGATATCATTCAAGGTCTTCCAAAAGTTGAGCAATTGCTAGAGGCACGTCCAATAAATTCAGTTTCTATTAATTTAGAAAATGGTTTTGAAGATTGGAATTGCCACATGAACTAAATGACCTGTCCAAGCTAATGAGCTTACACCAAAAAGTCCTGATAAATGATGATTTAAACGGGATCAGCATTTTTAAACCAGGATACTTTAGGTTTCCATTTAGGTTGTAAATGTAACCAACCTGCTATTAAGGAAATAGACGAAAGAATAACTAAAAAAAGAGCTCCATTATAAAGATCTTGATTAGTTCGTAAACCAATTGCACACCACCATTGGTTTCATTTATGGTTTTTTCTTTCGTTCGTTTCATTTATCCACATCACTTTAACATTTGTGAAAATGTTTTAGAAGAAATTTTTATACGCTCCAATGATGACATGGTATGTATTTGAAGTGTGTAAGCCTATGTGGCGGATATCACACAGGTTTTAGTTCAACAATAAAGACTTTCTCAAATATAATTTGAAGAAGTACACACTCATATAATATATGAGTACTAAAAAAATACCCGGAGAATGGACTTGCTGCAAAGAACGTCTATTCTGAAATATGGGTTTATCTTGAAACCAGCCCACACCCTCAACTCCACCGTCCATGCAGTTGACATAGCCCTACACCGGTTTCTGCCTTTTGCCTTCCTTCCGCAGATTCACAAACCAATCGTACGGCCAAAACACAATAAATTCTTCTCTTATTCTCAACTTCATGGCCTGCATTAGACTGCTGGATAGCACAGAAGCAAATGTCACACAATTCTTTCATGAAGTGGAAACACTGAACCAACTTTGCATTCATTCAATTCTCTGGCAAAGAGTAATGTTCTGTTGTTTTGATTTTTTGGACTCTTGAACGACAGGAGAACCTTGTAAACTTATTAATACGATGAAGGTCTAAATTTGAGTAGAGTTAAGTCTCACACATTGATCGATATAGCAATGGACATAGAGAGACCTAGTAAAATAACAAAAGGGATGGGAAGACCCATCAATTGGTACAAGGATGGAACCAAAGAGGTCATGGTAACATTAGGGCTAGCCCCAATAGCATCACATTGGGAAATATGCTCTACAACACTTAATATATATGAACTATCTAGGTCAAACTATCTATAAATAATATCATCAAAAAGTATCTGAATAAGTATCACCTAACGTGATTGATTTTCTATTGATAGCACCAACTAGTACTTTCTTTAGAGCAATGGAAAGATGTTGCCTAAAATAGGCTATACATTAAGCTAAAGAGAGTGATACCCCATGCCGTCTCGCGTAATCTTTCACGAACATATCAAAGTCGGTGTCCATAGCTCCATATAACTCCAAAGCTATTGGAACAAAAAGGTGATCTCTCTGCATACCCATATACTTGAAGACATTGGTTGTTGCCGCTCCACTCGCCGTCCATTTTGGAGGATGGATGATCATTCCTCTGAAACTATGTCATGAGTAGGATCGGTAACCATCACAGTAACTTGGTCCTCCCGAACCAAGTACAGGTCTGCCCTAACCCTAGTTGATTGCAAGACATACCAACACTCCCTCCATGTGAGGTATCCACCCACTCGCGCAATAGCAAACATCATATCCCTAATTGCATCATGGGTAGTTATCCTCTGCCCTCCCAATGGGCAACGAGTCATATGAACACCTGCTGTATCTGTCTCACTTCTCTCCAAACTCGCCAAAATGACTACAGAACTCGGATGGTATGGCTTGACGAGCTATTGCAATGACTATTCTCCCACGATATAGCAATGGCAGAAGAGAGAATGAAGGTAACCGATACCTCCAGATATCTTGGAAGAGAAAGAAGTACTGCAGAGTGCAATACGATTACGAATTTTCATGAAGTCTTGACCAAAGCGACCATGAGAGAGGGTGTGCATCATTTCGTTTTCATCATATATCGGAACGCCATAGCTTTCTTGTGCCCTTCACATATTTCTCTGGGAGAGAACTCATCAAGTTGGTCAGCTTGAAGTTTTTAGTTTAATATTATAGTTTTTCTCAACAATCCATTCTTATCATTTATATTTAAAACATTCTAAGTTGTATTCATTTATATTCTAAGTTGTGTGATACTAAGCATTCGCTACAAAATTGATTTCAAACATAAACTTTGTTGTGAGTAGATGAAATTGATTTTCATTGAAAAAAATATATTAGCCGGACACGAGTCTTCCTACAACTTCCGAATTCATGTAAATTACAAAGCAAGATGAATGAGAGTTCATCCTCTACCCTATGACTATGGAAAACACTCGAGAGGTGAAAGATCTCTAAACAAAAACACATTCAGTTTGAAAAGAGGGAAAAAAAAACTTGCAATGTATGGAAAATTACTCATCACCTCATGTGCAGGCCATGGAGCTTTCTAGGATGTCTGGTCAGACTGAAGACAAGATAAGCATTGCAGTTTGTTTAATAAAATGATAATTAATTCAAATAAGAGACCCAGTCGTAACCTGGAATAGCTCAGTTGGTTAGAGCGTGTGGCTGTTGAACACAAGGTCGGAGGTTTGACCCTTCCTTCCAGCGCTTTCTCCATGCCGTCTTCATCATGATGTCTTTGTGGATCATGTGTACTAATTTGAAAATATATAATAAGAACAAGTCTGCCAATATGGGCTTGATGTAAGTTTTACTTATAAGCAACTCTCTGTTTTTCGTATGTCACTGGGAGCAACCTGCTTGTGCTTGTAGTTTACAAAAACGAACATGTCAGTTTTTTTCCGAGTTTTGTCCATGGAAACTAGAGCACTAGCTCCAAATGCAATCAAGTGCTGGAATTAGGCCTTGATTTAACCGTTGCTCTTTGTAATAAAGAATCCTTCGAACTATGTGGCATATCGTTTTCAACATGACGACTTCTTGGTTTGTCTTCTGTCTTCAAACGTTCCTCCTCCAAAACCATATGTATACATGATGTACAATCATCATTGCTATGACAGCAATATATTCAAACATTTTTAGCCTCCAATAAACTGTTAGACAGTTTATTCTAGAACTTGACATCACCATCTTGGTGATGTCAAGTTCTAGAATGATGATCACACAATGATGCATCATCCAATATATATGGCATCTAATTAATCTAATTTATGGTTAAAATAAAAATTTGATGTGCCTCAATTTGGACATCAAAGTTGTTTATTTCATTAAATTGTAATTTATTTTGACAAGAAATTTAAAAAAATAAAATTCACCCCATATTTTTATATAAATTACAAACTGAAGAAAGTTTTAATATTTCTTCCAATAATATTAGGGAATATTATATTAGATATCATATTTTTACAAATATCTGATTAAATGAAAATTTCAATCTTGTAAAATATCACATCTAAAGAATTTTTTTAATTAATGTGATCTTAGAGTTTGTAATAAAATAAAAATATTTTTTTAACATTATATATATTTTTTACATTCAAAAATAACTTTAATGTTCTGAAATACATGATTGTAGTATGTTACAAACAAATTTGATTGTATTGATTATACATAGAATTTCAAAGCAATGAACGTGTTAAGCATGCAACTAAATAGAATTTTTTTAAAGCAATTTATAAAAAAAATGTAAATTCATATGAATATTTGTGTGAAATTGATTAAAAATAATTTTTTACATCATTATGAATAATTAATTGCCTTAGTTGAAAAGAAAATTTTGTGTGAAGACCTCATCTATCCCTGATATTTTTACATTGATGAAAATGTGTCAAATATGTCATAATTAATAGGATTGAAAATTCACATATGTTATGATGTCTTGACATACATTTTAAAGGTATAATTGTACATGCAATTTTTTATCACTTGTCAGGTAAAAATTCAAATTTTATAGAATTTGAATCAAATTATTATGTTTCTAACTATACATTCATTATTCTTCACTAAATACTTCTTAAAATAGATTATCTAGACATAACACTTGAATACATAAGCCTCTACATTGAACTCTATCGTCCTACCGCCATTACCTCATTTCCGTGCTTCATATCTCCAGAACCAATCACAACCTATCGATGATTATTCGGATATGTTTAATGCCCTTCCAAAACATCGGGATCCGACATCAAAGATCAGAATGAATGTGATCCAATATAACTTGGAGGTGATAATATAACATGTCAGTTGTCAGTTGTGTTTGTATGGAGTTAAAATGGACCTGCGGGCAAATCCATTCTTATTATCATTAAGATAGAGGAAAAGTCTCGAGGTAGACTTCCGCACAATTATTCTAAAAAATACTGATAGAATATTTATCCATATTACCCTAAATTAAACCTATAGTAGCCAAAATCCACCCAAAACGTACTTTTAATATAAGCAAATTTTATGAAGAATATGATAGAATAAATTTTTCTAACTGCATTCTAAATATTTGGGCTATTAATAAAGATGCTCTCATAATTCAAATCATTAGCTGGCAGGCTCTATTTTGCACCCACGTAGGTTTGGTTATTCTTAATCAACAGTGAAATACTCTATTTTTCTCACTCTCGATTGATTGGGATTGATTTTCTCACTCTCGATTGATACATTAATTGAGAAAGTTGATTTGTTGGCAAAATGGCTACTATTGTAGCAACAGTACCAGTAAATGACTACATATGGTCATAGATAACACATCCATAAATGCATTTACAAAGCTTGGCAAAAGTGATGGCTTTCCTTTTCAAAGTGCAAGGAGTTCAGAAAACTCTCCATCTCCGGAGTCCCTCCTAGCATTCAGACTTTATCCAATTTAAACCGCCCTACATTATCTTTTTTACTCAATTTAGATCTCGACATATGGGTATTGGATCTTAGTTCAAACACTTCAATATAAGTGAATCACCTTTGTGCCATATTGAATAAGGGATCAGACATCATATTTTAGGAAATTGCTCTGCTACCTGTCTTTTTTTGGCAACAAAACTTCAATGGCGGCACTTTCTCAACTAAACAATTGCTCACTATCCACAAACTTCACATCAAAGTAAGAGAACTTTTTCATTCTATAGAAAACTACAGCCTCAGATCTCCTATCTTCTTAAACTGTCCTGTACTTCCTATTACGTTGGGTGTTGTTTTTCTGCACACTAAATACTTTTGGTCTTCAATGACCCTCCCCATCTGTCTTTCATCTGGCCTTGGCTCTCGGTCCTTATAGTATTTTTCTCCTACTCCTGGTATGTGCCGTCGTTGGCTTGGGGCCGCATCTTCGTATGACACACACACATTCTCAATCCTGGAATGGCCAGAATGATACTTCATCTTTATAATAAGTTCTATGTCTAATTGAAGACTGGAAGTCCACAGCATGCGCAGCTCTCCATGCTTTGTGACTTCCAGTCTTCAGCTCTGGGTACCGGTAGTGACCAGATCCCATTGAGTTCTCGACACGATTGAATGGGAGACTTGTGCCCCCGTTGGGCGGTTGACACATCTCCAGCGCATTTATTTACTGTAAGGGTCGGTATGCATGCTTTGCCCTCTGTTCTTATCATCTGTGCACCAGAAGTTAAAATTGATCACCAGGTGAGAAGGAAACGACGCAATTTGATCGAAGTCCATCAAGTGCCGGCCTAAATCACACTTTCTAATCGTCTTGACCGATTTCAATTGTTGGTTGGTAGTAGAAGCTTGTAGGTTTTCAGATATGTAGCAAAACCAATTCAAGATTATTTAACTTTAACAAGGATGTCCTTTGACATATGGCGGAATTGCTCTGCAGTAAGGACCCGAGTGAGTTTTTGCTCAGAGCTGTCCCTGCTGTTCAACTTCAATCATCTTCTTTGAATTTGGCCTTTTAAAGCTTACCCTGGGATACGGAAGTACGACGGAGGAGGGTTCTTACTAGACTGATAAGGCTTGTGATGCTCCCGTGTCTAGGGGTTGGCGACATGAAGAACTTCCCATGTTGAGACCAACGTGGTACGAACATTAAACCAACGATATCAATGTTTCAAGATTAAACACATGCAACTAGAATTTCTAATTGGAGGTTATAAATGCATACAACTCAGTGATTCTTCGAGAGAGGAGAGCAATGAAGCATCACCACGCACCAGCTTTCATAACGTAGACAAAGAATGTAATCATCGGAACATGGCATGCCATCGACGAGGACAATCAATCTTTGTTTACTTCGACTATTCAGTATCGGTATGGTGGGTCATATCAGATACACAATACTGTTCGTAAGGATACGTTTCCCATACCCCAAAAGGTGTGTTCCATTAACTTCCATACCGAGGCGTTAGGGACTTTTTACAGATTATAACGTTCGATACGCCAACTCGTTTGTGCTCTTTCGATCTAAACTGACGGCGCCAAGCTCCTCTTGGCGAGCGGTTTTAGCTGTATTCTCTACAGTAGTGATGTCGGACGGAGTCAGCACCAGCTGTTTCGAATCGTTCTTCGGACAATGTTTCTACACTGACTCCATGTCTCCAGGGTTGGTAGTGTGCATTTTTTGGCCAGTCTGGCCGGAACACCGCCTCCAACTCGGAAAATCTCGGGTGGAGGAGTTCACATGCGAAGACGTTCAGTATAATCTCAAATTGTTATCCAATTTTCTCGACATGAAACATAACATCTCGGAGAGATTGTAAGCAGCATCAAGAACATGTGTACCGTACTAAAGCTCATAATTTCATAAGGTGCAGAAAAGTGCACCGATTTGATCATGTACAAAACATGGACCTCTTTCTTCATTCTTTACAGGTCCCCATAGAATAAGAATAATGGTTCCGATCCCTTACGATCTATATATGTTCGGTAGATGCCAAATACTCTTAGACCTCCTCGTCTGCCTGCAAGCCTCCTTTTCCAATAACTTATTCTTGTGATGCAATTAGGGTTTCGTTATCGTATTCAGGATGACTACATTCTCGCCCTTAGGCTGGCAGTAAAATCTCTGAGAGCGGTGTAGATTGAACAAGTTGTCGAGAGGAAGGAAGTTTGTCTTGTTGAGATCGTAGCTGCAAGCTTGATGGCACGGACGAAAGAAGCTGAAAGGAGGATACGAATGCATTATTTGATTCGCAGTCGAGATTTTATATTTCTACTGGGAAATCAATGACTGGTATGGGAATAGGACTGTTCGCAGCATCTCAATGTTGTTTGCATTGATGCTCATTTCGTTTTCAAGACGCCATTTATTCGACACCACTGGCAGCAACTTTTCAGAAAGTAGAATGCTTAGGGGGCCAGGGGCATCATTGGATTTCGGTCTCACTACATAGAAGCCTCTCTATGGCTGGATTCTGTTGATCTCATCCTTATCTTATAACGTCTCGCTTTCATAATGGAGAGAATACTGCATGGTCATTGTAGCAATTTCTCGTTAGTTAGTTCTTACTTTAATGTGCTTTACAAGTACATTAGACCTGAGCAAGGGATCCAAGGTGCTGCTAAAGTACAGGTCCATAGAAAGCTTCGATTCAATCAACTGAGATTTAGGGGCCGAACGACTGTCAAGTTTTCTAAGAACGTCTCTGGTGGACTATCATTTACACCTCCAACAAATAAGTTGCCTGCTTTGTTCGGTTC